TTTCCGCTGCAATGTTTAAGTTTATTATCTTCTAATTAAATTCGAACCAACGGGTGAATTTACTTTGAAGAGCAATTAAATTTTATTCAGTAAATTATGAAATTGTTATTTTTCTTACCAACATTGATAATAGCAATATTATAATGATTTTTCATGAGTTTTTCCATTCATTAATTCTATTTCTGCCCAACGATGATGTAGAATTAGTGTATAAGAAGTATGAACAACATTAAATTAAGGCATGCAATTATTATGTCATTTTTTCTCACTATCTCTGATGGTGTTTTTCAGGACTAAACTCAATGGCATTTATCTCGCATATACCGCCTCTTGAAGGGGGCAACTATAGGGTATGGTGAGAAAAGTATGAACTAGCACTTGCGTTGTTTGAGAATGACCTAGCGCTTGCCTCCTCGTGTCCTAGTGAGCCAGTGGACCCGGTGAGGGAAGAAAATGAGTCTGATGCTGATTTCACTGCTCGACAGCGAGATCATGCAGAAGTGCGGATGAAATATGATCTCGAACACAAGAAATGGGACATTTAAAACCATAAGTGCTTGATGGTGGCTAAGTCCACAATTTCAGATACGATAAGGTTTCTATTCTAGATTGTGACACCGCCATTGAATACCTCAAGAAAGTGGAGAGTCAGTTTATTGGCTCTTCAAAGGCTTATGCCAGTACTTTGATCAAGAAATTATTCAGTGAGAAATACACTAGTGGCGGTATTAGAGAGCACATACTCAAGATGAGCAACACGGCTTCGAAGTTGAAGCCAATGGATTTTGGGCTCAAGGATGAGTTCCTTATTCATTTGATTTTTGCGTCCTTGCTCAAAGAATATGAAATTTTGTTGTGAACTACAACATGCACCCCGATAAATGGGATATAGAGAAGCTCATTGCAATATGTGTTCAAGAAGAGAAGAGGCTAAAAAGCTCACATGGTGACTCTACTAACCTTGTGAAGAACAACAACAAGAAAAACTTCAATAAGAATGCCAAACCTCAAGGGAAAGCCCTCAGACTAAGCACCATTAGAAGAACAACAATGCTTAAGTTAAAAAGGATCAGTGCAAATGGTGCAAGAAGCATGGATATTACCAAAGGGACTGTCCAGACTTCCTGAAGAGCCTTCTAAAGAGAGGTGAGGACCATATTACATTCATAGATGAGTCCTTGTATTTAAGTTATGCAAAATCTACTTGGTGGATTGATTTAGGTGTAACTGTTCATGCTGCAAATCCATTATAGGGATTCCATACGAGGAGGACCCTGTAAAGAGGAGAAAGAAGAATTAAAGTTGCAAATGGAGTTGAAGCTGAAGTTGAAGCCATTGGAGATCTCTCTCTAGAATTAGATAATGGTTTTAGACTTCAGCTTTTAGATATTCTTTATGTACCCTCTTTACGTAGAAACTTGATAAGTGTTTCAAGATTAGATGATGATGGATATGATTGCCATTTTGGTAATGACAAACGTCGGATTGTGATTAATAATAAGTGTGTTCTTACCTTTCAACAAGACAAGCTTTATTTATTATCCTTTCTGACAATGTAAATGTTGTGAGCACTGAGAATGAGTATGCTTCTTCGTCTACGAATGCAACAAATAAGCGGAAGAGAGTGCATGATGTATCTTCAAAATTATGGCACTATCGTTTAGGCCATATTTCGAGAGGGAGAATAGAGCGATTGATTAAGAAATCAATTCTTCCGCCTTTAGAATTTTTAGATTTAGAGCAATGCATTGATTGCATAAAAGGAAAATACGTTAAGAAAATAAACAAAGATGTCAAACGAAGCGCAGATATTTTAGAAATAGTTCACACAGACATCTGTGGTCTTTTTTCTGTGAAAAGTGTGGATGATTATGATTCATTTATAACATTCACAGATGATTATTCTCGTTTTGGCTATATTTATCCAATTAAGGAAAGATTGGAAGCGTTGGATAAATTTAAGATATTTAAGGCTAAAGTAGAAAATTAGCACAACTTAAAGATTAAGGTAGTAAGATCCAACCGTGGGGGAGAGTACTACGGTCAACACACCCCATATGGCCAAGTTCCTGGACCTTTTGCAAGGTTCTTACAGGAAAATGGTATAGTTGCCCAGTATACTACACCGGGTGAGCCTCAGCAGAATATGGTGAGAAGCATGATAAGTTACTCTACCCTACCAATAAGTTTATGGATGGAGGCGTTAAAAACCGTCATTCATATTCTTAATCGAGTGCCAAGCAAGTCGGTGCCCAAAACACCGTATGAGTTGTGGACAAGAAAGGAACCCTCACTTAACTATTTACATGTGTGGGGTTGTCCAGCTGAGGCTAAAGTCTTTAACCCAAATATAGAGAAGCTAGACTCCAAGACAGTCAATTGCCATTTCATTGGCTATCCAGAAAAGTCAAAAGGTTATCGCTTCTATTGTCCTGACAGACAAACGAACTTTTAAGAAACAAGACATGATATGTTCTTGGAGGATGATATGATAAGGAGGAGCATGGTAGCGTGAGAAATTAATTTTGAAGAGAAGCGGGTATACGTGCCCACTCCAATGGTTCAGAAACCATTCTTCACGCTACCTGTCGTTGCTGTACCAACAGTGCAAGACATTGTAGTAACAACACCTGTTATTAGCTCTCCTGTGACAACAATGAATGAACATGAGGAAAGTGTCGTTCAGGATCCCATAGAACCCGTTGTCACACATGAGGAGGAGAAACAACAGCCTCATATAGAACAAGCGTCATCTAACAAGAGTCAAGAGATCAGCCATTCCTGAAGACTATGAAGTTTATGAATATAAGGAATTTCAAATGGAGGGTGATCCCACCTCATTTGAAGAAGCCATGAGAAGCGCTCACTCATCAAAGTGGCTTGAAACCATGGAAGATGAAATAAAATCAATGAAAACCAACGGTGTTTGGGACTTAGAAACAATTCCTAAAGGAGCCAAGACAATAGGCTATAAATAGGTCTACAAAACTAAACATGACTCCAAAGGAAATATAGAAAGATTCAAAGCACGACTTGTGGCGAAAGGCTTTATGCAAAGAGAAGGTATAGATTATAATGAGACTTTTTCTCCAGTCTCATGTAAGGATTCTTTTAGAATCATAATGGCGCTTGTAGCACATTACGATTTAGAATTACATCAGATGAATGTAAAGACGACGTTCCTAAATGGGGATTTAGAGGAAAATGTTTGCATGGCACAATCGAAAGATTTTGTTGTGGAAGGAAAAGAACGTATGGGATGCCGCCTAAAGAAATCCATTTACGGATTAAAACAAGCTTCAAGACAGTGATATTTTAAGTTTGATAGTACAATAAGAAAGTTTAGGTTTCAAGAAAATGTAGAGGACAATTACGTTTATGCAAAGTTCAAGAATGAGAAATACATTTTTCTAGTCTTGTATGTGGATGACATCTTGCTCGCTAGCAGTGATGTTAATCTACTACTAGAAACAAAGAAGTTCTTGTCCTCGAAATTTGGTATGAAGGATCTCGGTGAAGCTTCGTTCGTCCTAAGAATAGAGATTCACCGAGATAAAGAAAATAGGGTTTTAGGATTATCACAAAAGGCATACTTAGAAAAAAAAATCTAAAGAAATACAGTATAAAAATTGTAAGTCTTCACCTGCTCCCATAGTCAAGGGCGATAGATATAGGAAATTTTAATGTCCCAGGAACCAATATGAGATCGATCAAATAAAAACGGTTCCATATAGTTTAGCTGTCGAAAGTTTATAATATGCTCAAGTGTGTACTCGCCCTGACTTAGTTTTTGTTATCGGGTTACTTGACAGATATCAGAGTAATGCAGGAATAGAACACTAGAAATTAGTAAAGAAAGTTTTCCATTACCTGCAAGGTACGAAGGGTCTCATGCTAACGTACAGAAGATCTGATTCCCTGCACATAGAGGGGTATACAGATTCTGATTATGCGGGAAATGACAGAAAGTCCACGTCATGATACATATTCACTCTCGAAGGAGGAGCTATATCGTAGAAAAGTTCAAAGCAAACCGTCACTACATCGTCCACAATGTATGCCGAATTTGTAGCATGTTACGAGGCCACAGGGCAGGTGAATTGGCTGAAGAAATTCATGCCCGGATTGAAAGTGGTAGACGACATACATAAGCCACTCAAGTTATACTGTGATAATAATCCAACAGTATGTTATGCTCACAACAATATGTCAAGTGGTGCTGCCAAACACATAGACATAAAGTATTGTGTTGTGAAAGATAAAGTCCGGGGTCATATAATTAGTCTTGAGCATATAAGAACAAAAAAGATGCTCGCGAATCCGCTTACAAAAGGCTTATCACCCAGCGTGTTTAGAGAACACTTAGCCGGCATGAGTTTAAGAAAAAGCCTATGGTTCATGGACAATAAGGGCCTAGTTGAGAATCTGTTTCAAAACAGAGATACACATTGTAGCTGTTTAATCAAATGACAGCTAACGTGACGATGAGACACGCTATATGCACTGATCTGTGATGGAATGAGAATAAGATAAAGTAAGTTATATTTAAATCATAAGGTGAGATCAAAAGAAAGAATGTTAGATTGATCCCACCAGTTGGCCCAATTATCAATTGAGCCTTGATTCACTCCCTGATCGGAGGCGTCCAACCCTAACTATCGCACAACGCCGTAAAAAGAAAGGTGGGGTCGGGACACAAGGCACGAGGTTCACCTGAGCCGCCAGACACCCCACCTATAAACCCTAAGTCGATTTAGAGAGAGGACGTTGTCAGCGACAGAAAGCACCGACACCGGCTTCACCCCGCCTCTGCACCGCCGCCCTGCGACTGCGCCTCCACTGCGTCACCGTCGGAACTTCACCCCGTCGCCACCGCACCTCCACCGCACATCAGCGATGGCCAGCTCATCTTCTGTAAAGACGGACGATGGTTTATCACCCCGCATCTTCTCGACTAGATCACGTTCTAGGATTTACCGCTTCATTCGAATGTTAGGTGTTCATGTCAAGTCTATCACCAGGGAGACGCGGAACTTCAACACCGAGAGCTCGGCGTGCGCCAGGCGCAGGACCAGCGACGTAGCTCCGAGCGGCAACGGGGAGGCCGCGAGCACACAGTCCCGGACGTCTTGGGAAGCGCAGAGGATGATGAAGTTCTCCGGGAAGAAGTGCCTGAGGATGATGTCGTTCCCGTCGATCTCCGCCTCTGCGACGATGGCGTCCAGCGCGGCGGAGATTGTGATGTCGTTGGTCCCGCATCTAGTCTGGGCGACGACGGAGAAACGCATGCTTGTTTCGGCGTTGTCCATGGCCGTGTCTCGCTGGATGAAGCACCAGGACTCGCGGGGCGCGAGGGGTGGGCGAGCCAGGCGGCGCGCCGTCGCTGTCGTTGACGGAGAGGTCGGAGGCATCACCCATCGACGGAGGAGGCGATGGCGTCCTTCCCCGCGCCTCGAGGCGTCCCCGGACTGGCATCCCTGTGCTGCCGCACAAAGCGCCGCCCGTCCCCGCCGGAGCCGCCCTCACGCTGGCCGTCGGCGTGACGCCGCCTCTTGCAGTCGCGGGCCAGGTGCCAGAGGCCGTGGCACTTGAAACATCGACGCGGCAGCCTGCAGGTAGCGATGCGGTGCGACGTAGACAAGCAGTTGAGACACTTCCCGTCGAACTCCGCCGGTATCTCGCGTTGCCGCCCAGCCTCGGGAGCCTTAGCGGTGGGACGACGGCGCTGTTCCGGCGGCGCCGGTTCCGCGAGGCGCTGTGGGAGCACCTGCTGCCAGCCCTCGGCATCCGGGGCCGCTGCCCTGCGCCTCGGCCCCAGTCGCAGATGAACGGACACCCTTTCAGCCGCCGTTCCCGCGGCCTGCTGGTGGTGGTGGTGGTGTCCGGCCTCCACCCGGGGTGCCCTCCGTCTTCTGTGGCCGCGGCGCTGCCGACGGCGCCTGGGGCGTGCGGCGTGCCCCCTCCCGGGCGTCGTCTCGGCCACCCACCGTCGCCTGGGGAGCGCCCTCGGCCGTAGCCGGGCTCACCGCAGGCGAGGAAGTGGAGAGTCCACGGCGCGCGATGTCGAGGTAGGAGGGGCGCTGCTCGTCGTCGGAGCCGTCAGAGTCGTCGGAGAGGGAGAAGTCGTCCCAGCGCATGCTCTTGGACCGGCCAGCGGAGTGGAGGAAGAAGGGCGCCGCGTCGGGAGACAGGGACTTACCAGAATCGCCGGAGTGGTGGTTGGGGGTGGCTGACGGCGCCGGGGAGGCTTCCGTCAGGCTGGGGTTGGGGGAGCGGTCGGGAGGTGGGGGAGCCATCCCGCCGAGATGCCATTTTCATGTGGGATGAGCCCATATTTAACCGTTTTCAATCAATGCAAGATATATCTAACAAAAGACATGTGTTTTTGTGATATGTTAATACGCACCAAGTATGCAGGCGTGCATACCGGATCAATTTTCATATGTGTATATTGTTGGGAGTTTATACATGCATACTTGAAAATACTAGATCATATAATTCTAACTTAATTTTTTGGTTCTCTGTCCATATTGTTCATACTGGCCCTGGTCGGTTTATCCCATATCTGGCTTATTCGGCTTCTTTTTTTAGCTAGAACCGTGTTTTTCTCTCACAACATTTCAGCCAGAACAGTATTTTTCAGCCAAGTTTCAGCAAGCCAAACGGGGCCATTAGTTTGTTTTCGAATGTCCGCATATCCCGATTTCGATCCCGCTTTTTCTGAATCCAATCCCATTTTTACCTAAAAATATAGAAATAGAAATAGGAGTGTGTTCATCTTAGGGCATGTTTGGTAGGATTTTGGAACGGAGGGAGCAGGAACTAATACCTCAAACAAATCTACACTGTTAATTTTTTTTAGATTTTTGAATTAATTAATTAATTTAGGAAAGTGAAAAAAACACAGCGTGGCTAGTGCCAGGACATCTGTGCAGCCCGCTCAACCCACCACCGCCCCACCTCGTCCGATTCCCCCAAGCCTTTTCTGCCCGTGTCTCTGCGTCCATCCACCCATTCTCTAGACCCGCTCCTCTCTCTCCGCACGGGCGGCACTCGAGAGCCGAGGCCCGGCGTGCCTCCGATCGGAGCACCCATCTGCTCGCCCCATCGCCCCCACCTACACTCCCCCGGTGCGCGTCGTGCACACTATCCTTCTACCCCCAGTTCGTCCCCGGCTGAACAACATAAAACACTTGCAATATGTAAAAACAATTGAATGCAACATACTTCTAAAAACAGATGAAGCACTTGGAATATGCATTTGCAACATGTGTGTGGAACATATGAAACGTCCAAAAAAATAACACTTGCAACTTGCAACATGAAACCACTTGTTGCAATATAAGGTTGAAACAACTGAAACATTTTAGAACATACTGTTGCAACATATGTGTGAAACATATGCAGCATCTAGATCAAAAACAATTGCAACATATATCTAGAAATAGATGAAATATTTTGAACAAACGCTAGCAACATGCATCTGAAACACTTGTGACATATGCAACATCCTCCGATCTACTTTGCAACATCAAAATGAAACAATTGCAACATACATCTGAAACGTCTAAAACAATTGAAATATACATATGCAACATAGGGGACAGGAAGGCTGGGGTCGGTCGATTCTATCCACCAGGGTCAGAGCCAGCAGTGAGCGACAGTGCACGAGCACCACTGCCACCAGCAACGGGCTTAGCTCTGCCGGGCGAGCGCACTAGCACTAGCGGCGCACACCCACCACCACCACTGGCATCGATCTTGGCTCGACCGGGCAGGCGGCGCGCGCGACGGGAAGGGGCGAGAAGCGCTCCTGACGGGGTCAAGCGAGCGGCGTCGGATGGGGGGAGCGACAGCAGCGAGGCAGAGTGGCATCCGTGTTAGGGACAGGACGGACGGAGTGGCAGTCACAAGGCAATGTGGTGGAAATGAGGATGCAGAAGGGATAAAAGTTTTTTTTCTTTTTTTAGAATAGTTGTGGGCGAGGGTGAGTGAATGAGCGGTCGTTGGGCAGCGTCGTGGCCCACCATCGCACCGTCCGGATGGACGGACGCCCTATACCTAGCATTACCGAAAAAATATTCTCAAACCCTCTCATCATGGGGACTAGGGAGACACGAGTGGGCGTGTGATGAACCGATGACCCCAGCCTTGTTGGTGCGCACCGAGGTCGCATCACGCTTCCTTTTTGCTATATTTTATCATATTTATGTATAGTTTTATTTGTGTTATTAAGTCACTAATATATATACTAATAATTATATTATTTTTTATAAGTTTTCTTTATCTATGTGTACTATATACTTATTATATTTTAACGGGTCTGTCATGTACAATGTGATGCTAACATATATGTTTTTGTCTCAAAAGTATATGGACAAACTAAAGGGTGTGTCCATAGCAGTCATCAATTTACAGTTGTGCTCGATTAAATGTCCAAAACCCGAAGTTGTGCTCAATTAAAGGTCCAAAACCCACCATGTCCCTGCCAACTTCCTACATGGCCGTGCTAGTTAAAGTTGTAAAAAACTCTCTCTCTCTCTCTCTCTCTCTCTTTGTAGCCCTCTCTCTACATGGGTCGACCGTGAGGCAGATACGGACCGACAAAGGACAGTGGAGAGAGTGGAGGGGGAGGTAGATGTTTTTCTATAAATTTCACCTGGCCTCATCCACGTGACATAACCACATAGGTATATAGAGATAGAGGTGATGTGAGGAGATTTAGAGTTTCAAATCTCTACTCGGACGCGATATTAGTTGAAACACCTAAATAGTCATCCTTTTTAGTTGAAGGACCTAGGTGAGAATCCATGATGTATTTTAGTAAAAAAAAGTAAGCATTTTGTGCTAACCAAATTATACCATTTTCAAAGTTGCAAAATAAAAAGATGGGAATTGCTATTCTTCGATAAATCGATTTTTGTGTTCTTTTTAGGCGACGGTCGAAAACCCTTGGATATGAAACGAACACTCCAGATTAGATCATGGGATACGTAAAATGGGGTACCCCAAGCAAAGATCGAAAAAGCGCTTAGACCCTAAGAACAGAACCAACGGAATAAACAAGCGAGGTCTCGGCGAAATCTCCGATTCGCCGAGACCCGTCGCCGAGAAACCCAATGAGCGAAACGATTCTCCGACTGCCGAGGGCCCCTCATCGAGGCCCCCTCGCCCAGGGCCTCGAAAGAAGTGCCAATTCTCCGATTCGTGCGAGGCCGGCTCGGCACCAGCCCCGTGACCGCCTCTTCGACCAAACTGCTCTGACCGAACGTCGCATCCAAGCGCCCAACCACTCCGACAGCGCGACGATGGCAATCACACAAGTAAGTGACCGACTACACGCCGATCGCATCAACCTCCGCCATCTGCGGCCGGCAGAGGCGGGGGTTACCACCACCGGTTGCCTAACTCCTGCGCCAAGGACATCGCGGCGTGGGGAGTCGGAGCAGGTTCCTCAGAGCCTCGGAATCAGGCGGACCGACCGCTCCGGCTCGCCCGAGCCCCTCGAGCAGAGGCCTTGGATTCACCGATCTTACTCCGCCTCGCCCGTTCGCCTCGCCCCGACCCCCCGGTAGGGCCTCTCGGACGAATTGGCCGCGCTCCGCCTCGCCCGAGGCCGGGCTCGTCCCGCAACCTTGTCGCCTCCGCCTCAAAGGTCTCTCTGGCGGGCTATCGCATCCAATTAATGCGCTCAGCTGCACCCGCTACGTAAGCCACGATCGGCGGTCTTGTTTGCAACAGAGCGATGGGACAACGGTCGAGATCACCTTTTTATCATCCCTTACTAACAATATAGGTACCAGTATCACGTAGGCGCGCACGTCTCGTACTATTCCGCTGATGGCCGCCGAGACCGCATATCGCACTGGTCACTTCTCGAGCCTCGGCTGTGCAGTTCCTCGGCACGACCGGCTACGATGGCCGCCGAGCCTCTGCAATCCACCAAGTCAACAAATGCGCGACATGTTACTTGCGATGGAGACCATACCGATTAGACATCTACGGGAACTCCCACGACAACGCCATCTTGCTCCGAGAGTAATCGTCATCGAATAGTCCGCTCCACGTGTAGCTCTCTTATGTACTCTGGTTTCCTCCCTGCGCGCTATAAGAGGCGGCGGAGACCGTTCCTAGGGGCGGCGGATAGAGTCACGAACACTCGCACGAACAACACGCCGCATTACGTAATTCATATCACCTCCCTCACGAGACTTAGGACGAACTCCCTCTCGCCTAGCTTGTAACCCCCCTACAGCGCGCCAACTATCTCCGTGTTTGAACCGGGGGTCCTATCAAACCCGATCGAAGGCATCAAGATATCCACCGCCTCCCTTACCCGGCGTAGGATCTCCTCATCGATGAGGCGGCGGACATCTTGATGCCTTCGATCGGATCGCTCGGGGTCATCTCGAACAGGCGCCGCCGCCGAGCCATCAGCGGCAACACCCTCCGGCGGTGAAAAGCCACCACGACCACGGCCGCCATAAGGCCGCGATCGCGCAGCTTGCCCAGGGCCCTCAGGAGCGGTTCCAGCCTGGGCTGATCGGGCTTGATGACGCCGTACCCCCACTTCTCCGGCTGACTCTCCACAACCCGCCCGGTATAAGGGGGAAGCCCACCGTCGCCGTTACGGAGGTAGAACCAGCTGTCATACCAACGACGGTTGGATGATGCCAGCTGAGCTAGGATGTAGAGGTGATGCCGGTCTTGGCGCACCTAAAGGGTGCAGCCACCGGCCCTCAACGCCTTCCGAGCCCCCTTCGCTCTCGCCGACTTGGTGGTAAAAACCGCCCGAAACAAATGGAGCCACAGCTCCCAGTGGGGAGCGATCCCCAGGTACCCCTCGCAAACGGCGGTGAAGATGGCCGCCTATGCGATGGAGTTGGGGCTGAAGTTGTGGAGCTCCACGCCGTAGTAGTGCGGGAGCGCCCGCATGAACTGGTCCGCCGGCAAGCCGAGGCCTCGCTCGTGGAAGACGACGAAGCTCACCACGTAGCCATCATGTGGCCTCGGTTCCGACTCATTCCCCGGAGCAATCCACTCCGGCTCGTCAGGATCGGTGATCGGGCGGAGGAGACCGGCGTCCACCAGCGATTGTAGCTTCTCCACGGTGACGTCAGACCTCTCCCAGGGATCCGCCGAGAGGATGATAGGACCGCCACCATTCTTGTGGTGGAGGGCTAGCCTTATACGGCGGTAAATCTCTCTCTCTCTCAATCGATCTCTCTCGCCCTTCTTCTCCGGCGCTTTATGCTCTCAAGAAGCGGCTTGGAGGCGGCGAAAGCAAATCTGAGCAAAGGTAAGGAGGGGAGGGGTGAGGCTCTTTATGTATTTATGCAGGGGTAAGACGAAACCGCTGGGCGACGAAATCGAGGAAGTTTCCCTCAGATCCGGCGCATATAATCCAGATCCGATCTCTCCGCCCACGCGCCCACCTTCTCCACATTTAATCGCGCAGACGGTTATGTTCCATCCACTGACACCACGTCGCACAGCAACGACAGCTCCCGAGAAGACCGCCTCAAAAGATGCGCCGTTGTCAGCCGATGGAAGGGAAATACCCCTCAGCCGATTCCTTCCAAGCTAAGGAACCGGGCGCCGAGCCCGCTACGGTCCAGAGGTTCGAAGGCTAGGCCATTTATGGTCTCGACAGCTGCCTCAGGACGACAGAGTCAGGGACAACTATGGGCGAGCCCGTACATGGCCGAGGCCCAGGCAAGCGATTGCTTGGGATGCCCTAAGTCGTGTCTGAGACTAGCAGGAGTTCTCTAAAGGGGATCCCACCGTAGGGAGGCACCGAGCCTCCAGGGCCAATCGAACGGCCCTGGCACCCGCTAGAGAAGCCTTCTGGTACTTTTTTGGAGCGCGTCTCTGGACCACTAGCCGACCCCTATCGAATGGGGCATGGGCCTCCACTCGGACTTACCCGATAAAAGCTCACCAGAAATGTCACCGCTCGCGCCCACCGAGGGTAGCCTGGCATGTTCCACCCCTCCTTCCGAGCAAAAAGGATGCGCGAGGTCGTTACAAAAGGCGGGGAACTCCTGATCGCCCTCTCGCTCCGCGCGGAGCTCGGGGCTCTTCCCACAACCTTGCCAAGACCAGTGACCAAGGCTCGCACACGAAGGGCTCGGCAAACAACCCCTCCTTCCGAAATGCGAAAAGGATGCGCGAGGGTCATACAAAAGCCGGGGAACTCCCGATCGCCCTCTCGCTACGTCACGGAGGCTCGGGGGCTCTTCCCGCAACCTTGCCGAGACCAGGCGAACTAGGCTCGCACGCGAAAGGCTCGGCAAACAACCCCTCCTTCCGAGCAAAAAGGATGCGCGAGGGTCGTACAAAAAGCCGGGGGAACTCCCGATCGCCCTCTCGCTTCGTCACGGAGGCTCGGGGGCTCTTCTGTAACCTTGCCAAGACCAGCGACCTAGGCTCGCACGCGAAAGGGCTCGGCAAACAACCCCTCCTTCCGAAGCGAAAAGGATGCGCGAGGGTCGTATAAAAGCCGGGGGAACTCTGATCGCCCTCTCGCGCTACGTCACGGAGGCTCGGGGGCTCTTCCCGCAACCTCTCACACCCCCGAGGGGTCGGAAAACACGACGAAAAAAGGGCACCAAGCCCATTACAATCTAGGGGCACGAAGGTTTGGGCCATCCAGGCCTCGGCAAACCGCCCTAGGACAACAAAGTCAGGGACAACTATGGGTGAGCCCATTACACAGGCCGAGGCCTGTGCAAGCAATTGCTTGGGATGCCCTAAGTCGTGTCCGAGACCAACAGGAGTTCTCTAAAGGGGATCCCACCGTGTGGGAGGCACACCGAGCCCCTAGGGCCAATCGAGCAGCCACAGCACCCGCTAGAAAGCCTTCCGTACTTTTTTGGAGCACGTCTACGGACCACTAGCCGACCCCTATCGAATGGGGCACGGGCCTCCACTCGGACTTACCCGATAAAAGCTCACCGGAAATGTCACCGCTCGCGCCCACCGAGGGTAGCCTGGCATGTTCCACCCCTCCTTCCGAACGAAAAGGATGCGCGAGGGTCATACAAAAAGCCAGGGGAACTCCTGATCGCCCTCTCGCTACGTGCGGAGGCTCGGGGGCTCTTCCTGCAACCTTGCCGAGACCAGCCCTAGGCTCGCACACCGAAGGGCTCGACAAACAACCCCTCCTTCCGAACAAAAAGGATGCTCGAGGGTCGTACAAGAAGCCAGGAGAACTCCTGACCGCCCTCTCGCTCCGTGCGGAGGCTCGAGGGCTCTTCCTGCAAACCTTGCCGAGACCCAGCGACCTAGGATCACACGCGAGGGCTCGACAGGCTCGGGGGCTCCTCCTGCACCCCAAACGAAAACAAGCGACCCAAGCTCGCTCTCATGGGTCTAGCGAATGCGATAGAGCGCCTTACTCAACGAAAGAAAAAAGCCCCTAAAGGAGTAAACTCACTCCTCTAAGGCCTCGGGGCTACACACCGGGAAGTGCTTCATGGCACACCACCGAGAATCATGAGTATAAAACAAACCCGATAAGAGCCACTTGAGAAACAAAAGTCTCGAAAAACCTCGGGAGAGTATCCCACACTCCCTTGAGGCTCGGGGCTCTTGTGGGATACCGTAAAATAGGGTACCCCAAGCAAAGATCGAAAAACTGCTTAGACCCTAAGAACAGAACCAACAGAATAAACAAACGATGTCTTGGCCGAAATCTCCGATTCGCCCGAGACCCCATCGCCGAGCCCCAGCGGAAGCGAACGATTCTCTGACTCACCCGAGACCGCCTCACCGAGGCCCCCTCGTCGAGGCCCCCTCGCCCGGGGCCTCGGAAGAAGTGCCGATTCTCCGATTCGCACGAGGCCGGCTCGGCACCAGCCCCGTGACCGCCTCTTCAATCAAACTGCTCTGACCAAACGTCGCATCCAAGCGCCCAACCACTCTGATAGACGCACGATGGCACAGTACAGTGAAGTGACCGACTACACGCCAGTCGTGTCAACCTCCTGCCATCTGCGACGGCACAGAGCAGGGGTTACCGACCACTGTGCTGCCTAACTCCTGTGCCAAGGACATCGCAACATGGGGAGTCAGAACGGGTTCCTGTAGCCTCGGAATCAGCGAACCGACCGCTCCGGCTCGCCCGAGCCCCCTCGATAGGGCCTCGGATTCACTGATCTTACTCCGCCTCGCTCGTCCGCCTCGCCCGAGACCCCCCCGGTAGGGCCTCGGACGAATTGACCGCGCTCCGCCTCGCCCGAGGCCGGGCTCGTCCCGCAACCTCGTCGCCTCCGCCTCAAAGGTCTCTCTGGCAGTACGTCGCATCCAATTAATCGCGCCGATTGCACCCGCTTCGTAAGCCACGATCGGCGGTCTTGTTGCAACAGAGAGCGACGGACAACGGTCGAATCACCTTTTTACCATCCCTTCATCGACAATACAGTACCGTATATCATGTAGGCGCCGTCTCGCACTATTCCGCCTGATGGCCGCTGAGACCCGCATCTGCACCTGGGTCACTTCTCAGGCCTCGGCACGGCAGGCCTCGGCACAACAGGCCTCGGCACGACCGGCTACGATGGCCGCCGAGCCTCTGCAATCCACCAAGTCAACAAATGCGCAGCATGTTACTTGTAGTGGAGACCATACCGATTAGACATCTACGGGAACTCCCACGACAACGCCATGCTGCTCCAGGAGTAAATACGTCATCGAATAGTCCGCTCCACGTGTAGCTCTCTTATGTACTCCTGGTTTCCTCCCTACGGCTATAAAAGGAGGCGGCCAGGACCGTTCCTAGGGACGGCAGATAGAGTCACGAACACTCGCATGAACAACACGCCCGCGATACATAATTCATATCACCTCCCTTCACAGAGACTTGGGACGAACTCCCTCTCTCGCCTAGCTTGTAACCCCTACTACTACGAACACCCCGGTGCAAGGAATACAAGAACATCTTCTCGGGATGGGACGTGGGGCATCCATTGCCCGAACCAAGATATAAACCTTGTGTCTCTTTGCATCACCATCCGGAATTGGGAGCACGCACACAAATTCACTAGTCGGTTAAGGACCCCGGTTCAAACACAAACAAGATCGCACACTATTCATCTTCTTCCTTGCGTCCCACATTGTTTCTCTTCCTCCTCGCATCCGTACTAGCTAGCCGTCCCATCGCCCATAGCCCACCAGTGCGATGCGATAGGGTCTCGTCGAGATTAGCGCGCCACGGCGGCCTCCTTTTCGCCTCCCCTCTGCCGCCCATGGCCATGGTCGCCCAACCGACCTGACCCAATCGCTTCCTCCGCCGCCATAACCCTAACGCCGCCCTCTGTCGTCCCAAGCTGCTGGCCGGCCGACCTCCCCAGGGTCCCTCCTTTTTCTAAGGTCGTTAGAGATCTCTCGAAGCCACCGCCACCTTGCCGCCGCCGCCGCCACACAGGAGAGAAGGAAGTCGCGTCGCCTGGACATTGCTCCAAAACTAGGCGACTGAAATATAGGAAATGTGTAAAAAGATAGATCTACCACATCTAATAGATTAGACATGCATCAATTAGATCTAAAAGCTGTATCTAAAATTTCTTATTTATTCTACTATATTAGATTTAAAATTAAATGGATATTATATTAATTACTATCTGTAGTCTAACAGATCTAATTGCAATCATTTGGAAGTACGACAGTGGACACAATCGGCAACACGCGCGAGGCTGCATTGGACTTGGGACTGTTGGACTGCCGTGCCTACAGGTGTCGTTTTTGCACCTGATATCGTGTTGATGCTTTTCAAATTGCACGGACTTTGTACACAAGAATGCACTACTACTGTGCAAGACTTTGTACTACTACTGTATAAGACTTTGTTGTATATACGAGAAAAAAGAAACTTGAATCACAGAGTTGCTGAAAAATATACTACTGCGAATCATCGCAGTTTCGCGAACATTGTGGGTACCCAAGTACCGCACTTGGAGCCACCATTAGCTCACAAGTCTAATCGAATACTACTGACCTACATTAAGACCCCACTTTATGTATGCTCTCCTCTCTCCCCTATTCCATTCCTATCCTAGCCACAAGTTTTCTCAGTTTGCTTGGATCTTGGGCAAACGAAATCGAACAAACAAGGTCCACAAATCACGGAGTCTGTTCCTCCCATCAGCCATGCTTCTCGTCGTGTTGTTTCTTCAGCAAGCACAACAAAAGATGAGATGAGGGAAGAAGATCAAGAACGTGCCGGGCTGGACTTGGGCCCGGCCCACGCGCACTCGTCCCAACCCTCCACGGCGTCCGTGGCGGCCCTCCTCCGCCTGCGCGCGCGTGCGCGTTCGAGTGCGCGCTCCAGGGACGTGGTGACCGCCACCACGAGCCTCGACGGCACGTGCGCGCACGCCTCCAGCCGCCGCAGCGCCTCGCCGTGGCCGCCGACGCCGATCCCACCGCCGCGCCCCGCCACCTCCCGCCACAGCGCGGCGGCCATAGCGACGCGTGGCGGGACGCGCGCGGAGGCGAGGTCGTGGGCGCAGGCCCGGAGCTCCCGCGCGGCCGCCGCGGCGCGCCGGCGCGCCGCCGCCGACCCCGCCGCGAGGCCCAAAGTCCGCTTGGTCCACACCTCGAGCACCGCCTCGGCGCGCCGCGCGCACGGGGGGTGCCTCGGGCTCGGGCTCCCGCTCCCGGCCGGCGCGCGCCTCCTCCTCCGCCGTGGTGGCGCCGCTGACGACGACGCGGAGTCGTACCCGTCCTCCTCGTCCGGCGCCCCCGCGGCGGCCGCGAGGTCCAGGAGGCGCGTGCGGCGGTGCCGCGACGCGAGGAAGTTGGCGCCGTGCACCTTGGCGTCGCAGGCGGCGCAGAGGAAGGCCGCGTCCGCCGCGCAGTGCACGGCCGCCGGCGCGCCGCAGAGCTCGCAGCAGCACCCCACACCGCCGTGGTGGTGACCCATCCCCGCGCTTGTAGCTACGTAGCTAGCTCCTCCTCGCTCCGGCTGTGTTTTGGGTCCTGCACCGACGACTCGAGGGAGCTACCGCGCTCGCCTCTCGTGCTGCGCTGCTGTCCGTTGTGACTTGTGAGCTTGGTGGTGATCGAGCGACGGTGGAACGGAAGCGATTAACGAGAGCTCAGCGTGGCGCGTATTTAAGGAGGCCGGGAGCGGGAGCGGGACGAGCGGTGCCGGGGGTGGCTGGCCGCTCGCAAGTCGCAGCTGTGTGTGACGTCGTTGGGTGCCGCCTTCCACGTGCAGTCGGGAGATGGCACGCGAGCAGAGCGCGACGCGGGGGCGGGGCCCGTCCCTCTCGCGACGACGACGTGGAGGCAAGCAGGGACGCTCGCGGGCTCGCGGCTCGCGCCCACAAGAACACACAGGCAGCCTACTCTGTCGTCTCTCCTCCAGTCCTCCTACCTCCTCCCCTAACCTGTGGTGCCGTGGACCTGCGGTGTGGTGCCCATCACCATGTGTGATGGTCGCCCGTCCGACGCCGCCCGCGCGACACCTGGGCTCGCGCGTAGCGCCGGGATTTCCTTTCGCGCCCTGCGTTTCTTTCATCACAGCAACACACAAGTGGTTATAGTTAACCGAGAAGGGAATGATTGGAGTTAACTTTTTGTTTAGCAAAAGTTAATTATGACCACAGTCCCCATGGGACATGGGCCATGGCATTGACTGCTCGCTCGCTGGGCTGTGTAGCGTGGCGCTTCTGGGTTACTTATCTAAGTACTCTCTCCGTCTAAAAAAAATATAATTCTAAAACAATATATTTAAAAAAGCATAAATATCTATAATATCAAATAAGTATAGTTGGATTACTTACGAAATGTATATTTATAATAAATTGATTTGGAGCCATAAATATGAATACTATTTTTAGAAATTTGGTCAAAACGTGAACAACATAAACTGGCACACATGCCATCCTTAATACTTATAGAGATCGTTTATGTTAAAATTTAGTTTATACTAATGTTTATGCTAAAATATTGTGAAAGAAAAATACTGCTCTACAACTACAAAGTAGTGCTGAAATAAGCGCTAGAGAACAGGGTGGTAGGTACCTAGAGTGACTCTCGTCCACGAAACCTCGTCGCGCTCAAAACTAATCGCGTGCGGACCACTGGTTTTTGCCACATATTTTATTCTTTCACCCGACCGAAGGCAGAGAGCGGATCATCAGCCTTTCGGCGTTCCTCTTTCCTTCCTTGTCGCCTCGTTAGTCTGAAATGGCTGAATCCAGTGCCAAAAGATGACTAAAAGATAAAAAAAAAAAAGGAGATAGGAAGAGAGTAAAATCACTTTTAGACCCTTTTAGCCCATTTTAAGAGGCAAATGGAGCTAAAAATTAGTCTTTTTCTTTTAATCCACATGTTTGGATCCTCAAGCTAAAAGGGCTAAAAGTAGATAAAAAATGAAGGACTAAAGTTTAGCCTATGAGATCAAAACATGTGGTCTGAAAATTATGAATTCTCTCGCTAGCTTTCGTGCCTGCCATGGGGATGGAATGAAAATTCTGAATTCTCTCGCTAGCTTTCGTGCCTGCCATGGGGATGGAATGGAATCCGGCCCTTGGTTGTTCGTTTGCCCAATTGCATGCACGTGGTCCCATCCTCGCTGTTAACAAAGCGGTGGGCGGTGGTACTTGGGACGCCGGTTTATTTTGTCGTAAATAATCTTGAATTATTTACTGCTGGATGGTTTGGTATAAGAAAAAAATATTATTCTAACTTATAATTTACGATGTATAGAAAAAAGCGAACAGGAGCCGATCGCCTGCCTCTGGTAAGTGGTAACGTTGCGGCAACGGAACGCTGCTGCTGCCTCTGCCTGGCAAAATATCCGACCACCAGGTTGGCTGACGGACACGGTGCCGCGCCCGAGGCCAGGAGACTGAGGTGTAGGATGTAAAGTTTCTGCGGTGTCCCGGCTAGTCACGTGGAGTGTTGTAGTGGTTTAAACACTAATAAAAAATAAATTACAGAATACGTTAGTAATCTACGAGACGAATTTATTAAGTCTAATTAATCTATCAGTAATACATGTGTTATTGTAGCACCACATTATCGAATCATAAACTAATTAGATTTAAAAGATTCATCTCGTAAATTAGTCATAAACTATGTAATTAGTTATTTTTAGTCTATATTTAATATTCTATACATATGTCTATACATTCAATTGGATATTTACGTTCCCGCGCGTAACGTACGTACGTATCGACCGGCGCCCAGCCGGCAGGTCAAGTCCGCACCGCACAGCAACTCAACTCGTGGCTCTCCGCCCACTAATGACGTGCCGGTGGTAACGGTTCGCATGAAACACAGCCCACACCCACATCCCAAGCTGTGTGATCCACGGGCGCCAATGGATTCTCTGATTCTGGGCCATTACTTTTTTTTATAATGGTATTTCTCCTGATGGTTGCTTTAATGTGTCTCGTACTCTCGTGAGTTCGTCACCTCTTGATTTATGTTTTCTCGAACCTTCTACTTATTCACGTTGTTGAAATTCCTCTATTTCATTCGATTTTGAATGAAGAACAGAAAACATTGTCTACCGTCACCTGGTGTCTAGGTCCATATACCAATATATACTGAGTACCCCTAAGTTCCAAAATAAGTGCATGTTTCGAGAAAATTTAACCACATATATACAACAAAATTACAGGAAATACGTTCACGATTGCAAAGAGAAGTTGGTTGGCCGCTGCATCCATTGACAGATACTTGTACGTACCAGACATATTTTAGCGACAAAGACAAGACGCCGATTATTTCGGCGACTGTTACGCGAACCCAACCCAATAGAAAGATCGGCCCGGCCGACGTGGCGGCACCTCGTCGGCGGATCAGCAGATTTGGCCGAGGGAGAACGACCGGAAATGCCCCGGGACGTGCGGTTGGTCCAGAAGCGGGCGGGGGCAGAACGGGGAGCCCAGAAGCGACGGCGACAGCGACCAAGCCGAGCCCCCACTCACGTCGCCAGCCACGAGTTTTCTGAGGTCGCCGCGCCATGCCAGCGCGACGTGACGCTGGCTCGTGAGGACTCTGTACCGCGCGGGCCGCGCCACGTCTTCGGCCGGTGCACCTGCACTCCGGTCCGAGTCCGACGCATTTTGGCCGTGGCAAGAATCAGAAGCGTCCAGAGACGAAAAGGTTGGTGCACTTGGTTCTATCAGCAAATATGCGTCCTTAATGAAACGTAGGAGTACGCACAAGAGAGGTTGCGGACGCCTCAGCTAGTAGCTCTAACCTAGTACTACCTCGCAGGCACACAGAGCATCCAGTTCAGCTTTAGCATCTGCCATTACGGGTTGACGGAGCACAAGGCTCAACCAATCCAGATCGCCCTTCACGGGACCAGATCAACGGCTGCCACACAAACCATCTGAATGTATGGGATGATACCATCAGATTCAGAAGTACTATGGTCTATTAATTGATACACGTGTTGCATCTTAGCCCACTTGATGGAGTCATGTATAATGCCTTTCGATCAGTCAGGGAGAGCCACAAGAACGGGGCCTGAAATGCTCTTTTGCAGAATGCAGCCGCGCGCTGGTGTGCAGTTACCGGACGAAACTGACGATACATCAATTATGCATCGCATCGATGGCCAGTGAGAAAGAATCGAGAAGGTGCCGGCATCGATGGCGAATGAGACGGCGTCGCTGGCGTCTGGCGAGAATGCGTTCGGTGCGCTGTGTACCAAACCACTCTTTTAACTGAGGTACAAGTTAAAGAATGTTAAATGCTTTCTCTGTTCTAATTATAAGTCATTCTAGATAAATGGTAAAAACTATCAGCTTGTTCGCCTTTATTAAAGCAACAGCCAAAAAAGAGAACCTGTCCATAGTAGCTACCCCAGCCATGGTTTAAGGCTTTAAGCATCTGTCTTGTCTTGCCTCACAGAAAAATGTGCAACTTGTGCCAACCACATGGCATGATCGCCAACCCCAGCTCCAAACCATTAAACCAACGTCGCAGTTCTCAGACCTATGTGTCCACGAGGCACTGCATAGTGCATACTGCAAGCATCTTGTGGCTGGGGCTGGGCAGATGCGAACTCGTCGCTGTCCTGACGGAGTTCGCAGCTCTGATGATGGTAAACTTCGATGCTGCTGATATTGAATTGGGCCTGGTCTAGCCAGTTTTAACCCAATTCAAGAAAAACTCTATGATATAAATTTATATCACATCGGTTTTTCAATGAGATAAGACTATTCCTACTCCATATAAAATACGGGGTACACGTCCTATTAAGATATCTAACTACACAATCGGTCCTTTATTAATCTACCTACTATTTTTTACTCCTTATCTCTTCCAACACCTTGCCGTCCTACGTGTCTCTCGATGGGTTCGTGGACGTTTTAGATGTCATTGCCGATTTTAGGGCACCCCCATTGTACGTCTCTCCAACGAGTCTTCCCGGAAGGCGTTTGTAGATGTATCGGCCGAAAAACGAGCGTCAATTGGCTCCGGCAACCTGTTGGTCAGCCTCGCCGTTTAGACCTCCTCCGCTGTGTGTTAATCGACCTTATCGTTTAGACCTCCCTCCGCTATGTGTTTTAGCCGTTTGCAACCATCTAGCCCTTACCGGTATGTGATCCGAATCAGCATCAACAGATGCATGCTGGTTCGGAGTTTTATAAAAACAAAAATTACAGCTGATAGGCCTCGTTTAGACCTACCTCCGCTATGCGCTTTGGTCGTTTGCAGCCCAGAAGATCTAGTCCTTGCTTCTTACCGGCATGTGACCCGAATCGGCATCAACAGATACATACTGTTTCAAAGTTTTGCGAAAAAAAAAATCAGTAATAATCGTGTGGTTTCCCCAAATGGAGGAAAAGTAGATATGAATCAAGTCACCAAACTACACTGTAAGCAAGGTGCAAAACACACCTATAAACGGACAACTCACGCGAGGAGGAATCGACAGATCGAGACCGCAAC